TTTACGATTTATAAATACGCTTTTTATTACAAACAGTGGGTTATTTACGATGAGGTAATCAAAAAGTAAATGCATAAATGTCTGTAGTGCCCAGCTCAGACGTCAGGCTCTGGAGGTCTGGTGTTGCGAACATATATGAAGTCCTCGATTTTCATGTAGTTGTCACGACTACCGACAAAATTCTTTAATTGGTTTCTCCCCTGAATATGTCTCTATGGAGTCCTAACTTCTACCTTTATCTACTGTAAGCAATCGTAGCCGCCGACCAACGCTTCAGAGGACCAATAGAAGTGTTGGTTACTAAACTTGTAATCGTTTGCATGGACTAAATTCTTAAATTATACTCTCTATTACTTAAAACTCTTCAAGTATATTACAACTCGTTGCGTATTTGAGATGATGATATTACAATAAGAAGACTCTTTAGACACAAGTCAGGAGCCTCATTTAATAAATAACGAGTTATAATAAACCACAACTAAATAACGGAGACCGAACAATTAACTTACAAACGATACTTCAAACAATAACTTGAAAAGCTGCCAATCGGCACGTTTAAAATTAAGAAATTTTGAAAGACAGAGATAATTGTTGTAAGAATCGTATCAATTAAAAGACTACAAAGAGTCAAAGCAGCCGTAGAATTCTTGAGATTCTTAAACATAATAATTTGAGGTCGATTTACTCCGCTTAAATACCTGTTGGGAAGATAGTGACCAAACTGTTTCGCCTCCCAAGGCGTCACTTCAAGAGCAGATCATAGATCACGACTATACTTGGAGCGGTAGCCTTTCGCGTGCTGTCGCGACAGTGGTGATGAAACCAGTTCAATGGTCGTTGGTGACTTTTTTCATTGTCTAAAAAAGGATTATTAATAGCCGTCTTTTGTTAATATATTTTTTCTCTTTACAGTGTCGAGAAATAACTCACTTTTAGTGTAAGGTCCCGTAGTTTCTCGGCGTTAATGTTATGGTACGCTTTTTTAGTAACTTTAAACTTCAGCCAACCCCAGAAGATCTCAATGGGCAAAACTGGCAGTGGATAGGATGTAGTTGAAGGATTTCAATCCCCCTTTCCTGCGCAATCTTGTCCACCACATATGTTTGGAACTCCTCCTTCCGGGCATTATGCTGTCGAACAGCTTGCAGCACAATCTTCTTCGTCCACGACGCTCTGCACGGCAGTCCGTGTCGTTACAAGAATTTCGTCAAGGCTCCTTTGTGACCACTGCCGTCGGGATGCGATCCAGTCATTTTGAGTGGTAAGGCGTATTATCAATCACCAAGACGACCTTATTGCTGCCAAACGCCTTCTCCAAGTTATCAACAAGTTT